AAAAGCTAAAGTCCTGGCCCCCAATGTAATGGTATTTGACTGTAGGGCTTTGGGGAGGTTGGGTTTATATTAGGCCATGGAGAAGTTTCTCTGACAAAGTCAATGTCCTAATAAGAAAAGATACCAACCAGTTTGTTTCCGTCTTTCTCTGCCACAAGTGGACGCAGTGAGTGAGGAAGGGGGTCTTCACTAGGAATGGAATGGGCAGGCACTTTCATCTTGGACTTCCCAGTTTTCAATCTGTGAAAGAGGAAGTGTTGTTTCTGTCACCCCATCTGTGATATTTCATTATGATAGCCCAAGGAGAATAAAGAGCCATTGCCTTGCAAAGCCCCTCTGCTTCTTCATGTTCCCAAGGGGTGGGAAGGAGTCAGATACAGATGCTCAGGGCTGCTGCACACCTCTGCTTAGCACATTGCAGTTGCCCATGCCAGAGCCCAGACTCCAGTCATTTGGCTCCACAGTTTGTGCTTATTTAAATGATAATACACTGGGGAAGAACAATGTAGTAAACCCCAGCAGTCAGTTACAAACACAGTGTGAATTAAGCCTAAGGCCAAGGAAGACCATAGATAGAAAGGCAAGTTGGAAAGGGAGGAGGACAAGCCTGAATGGTCTGTCTGTCCAATGAGCAAAGGCAGCCTTGCTACAGCTGTGCCAAATGACAAGATTAAAGGCTTGTAGAGGTTGTAGGTCTTCCTGCCACAGGAGACACTGACAGAAGTACATTCAGGAACAGTGTTTTTGTATTTGTTTAGGATAGGTAAAGAGGAGGGCGGAGGGGGAAGAGGAGGAGGAAGAGGGAGATGAGGAGGGGGAGGAGGAAAGGTCAAAAGGGCTATGACCCTGGAAAGACATGACTTGTCCCCAGCCCTCTCCTGTCCCTCTCCCTCTCTGCCTCTGTCTAGTACACATTCTCTGCCATGATACTCTGCCTCACCATATACAGAGCCCAGAAACACTAGAGCCCTGTGACCATGGGCTAAAACCTCTACAAGTAGAAGCCAAAATAAATCTTTCCTCCTTTTAAATTATTCCTCTCAAGTATCTGCCACAGTGACAAAAGTCACAGCAGAAAGCATGGATATTAGGACACTCTTGTGAGAGTGAGCGATACACTCTTAGAGGTAGATTGTGGGCCAGACCACACTGGCTGAAACTGTCCTCCTCTCCTGCAGGGGACAGTCTTCAGAGGACTCCAGCAGGGACTGGAGCTGCAGGTACTGCATTGACCTATGGCAGGCCTTCTGGAAAATACATTATGCAGATAACATTACCTCACAAGTGGTATTTGGCAAAGATGAACCATCTGTACACCCAAACACTATGTCCTCTATTAGTTACTCCTCTTGTGGCTGTAATAAAATACTCTGTCAAAAGCAACAAGGAAGGAAGGGTTTTTTTGGCTCACAGTTCCAGCATCCAGTTCATCATGGCTGGGAAATCAAGGAGGTAGGAACTTGAGACAGCTGGGCACACTGCATCCACAGTCAGGAAGAGGGAGATGAATGAATGTGCTTAGCAAGCTTTTTCATTTTTATGCAGTGGGGAACTCCAGCCCATTGAATAGTGCTGCCCACATTCAAGGCTAATTCCCAGTTTAGTTAACCTAATAGAGATAATCCCTCACAGACAGAACAGAGGTCTGTCTCCTAGGTAATTCGAGATTCTGTCAAGTTGACAAAATTAACCATCACATGGTTCCAAGGAAAATTCTGCCTCACACGATGGACCAAGGCCAGATTTTGCTAGTACTGAAAGAGATTTTGCAAGTCTATTAGAAATCCAGCAACCTCACAAACAAGTGACAAAGAACATGAAGCGTTTTCAATCAAGTAACTATGCTGTATTTCAGAAAAAAAAATATGCTTCTATAGGGAAACCTCTTATTTAGTTTTTCTTAACATATATTACTGATCAGTATCAATCTGCCCTTATCGTGATTATTATTGTTACTACAAATAACTCACCATGGAACAATTCATTGAGCTCACAGAGCAGCCCTTGTTCCCATGGCCTTTCCTGGGTGGCTTGACTTCCCTCCTGTTTATGACACACCACAATTCGATTCTCAGCATCTCCTAAACAGAGACTGATGGTATGCTCTGAGGCCTTAACTGATACCATCAGCCATGGCTCCTCTCTCCTTCTTTACCTCAGAGCTAGTGATGGCCTCACAGTGTTCACCAAGTTTGCAGGACACATCAGGGATTCAGCAGAGACCCCTGGCTCCCTTCCCTGAGTCTGCCCCTCCCACTTGGCATGCTGTAGCTTCAACCTGAGGTTCCCATCAGTCTTCTCAAAGGGCTGTTCTTGTGCTCTCTTTGTCTGAAGTGCCTGGATTATATCATCCAGGGTAGCCTTAGCTACCTTAGTATGTTGGAATGGAAGCCAGGTTCCCTGAATGGGGTGGAGACAACTTTGAGGAATAATTTGCAATCCAGAGATCTGATAATCAGGTCACATCCACCATCCCTGTCACTCTGGGGCCTTTGCTTGGCTATCCTCCTTCTAGATACATACTGGCTGCTCTTGGGAACATTTCCTTCAAACATCACTTGCACAAAGCCCTTGTCTGGAGACATGCTTCTAGAATACCCAACATAAGGCAAAAATCTTATTCCTTAGTGACAAAATGCTGATTTTTATTCTAGCATCCTAAATTAAGATTGTATTTCCCAATTTCCTTTGTAAATAAAACTATGACTAAGTTCTTGCCAATAAGATATAAGCAGAAGTGCTCTGTAGTTCCAGAAAAGGGAACTAGTGGCTAGTGCCTATTGTGAGCTTAAGAACAGTATACAAGTGCAACGATATGAAAGGGGCTTGGACCACTAATAACTGCATGGGCCACTAATATCAAGCATAGATTGTTCATCCATCCCCGCATCTTTATGTGAAAAATAAGGTTTTCTCCTGTCATTTTGTTTTGTGTTCTATGCAGTTAAACTTAACTCTAATTTATAGTACAGACCACTTCAGTTGAAGCCAGAAAAATGACAGCCTCCCTTGCAGCTAGAGACATTAACCTATGTGACCCCATTCTGACCAATGGGAAGTGAGGAAAGATGGAGAGAAGAGTATGGGGTCAAAATTTTGAAAAACAGTTTTCTTCCCAGATGAAAAACACAAAATGAAAGAAAAACAAGTGTGTGATGTAGAACTTTCCTTCCATACCCACCAGCAACCTACTTCTTGCCATGTGTGTTTGACTTCAGCAAATACAGGTGGGATTCTGGCACCATGGCAACCATTCTACAATCATCAAACCATAAATCCATGGACAAAAAAACCCCAACCATCTATGGATAGCTATGAAGGATAGAGAGAATTTGAACCCTTCCAAAAACTACTGAGTCTCCAAACCTTCCGAAACATCTTCCAGTTCAGAGCCCCCCGCCCCAGTAGTCCACACTATCAATCAGCAGTCAACCCCACCCATTAGGGACGTATAAAACAAGTAAAATGAGGAAATTTTAATCTTTTTTTCCCCTCCAGAGTGCTGGGATTAAAGATGTGTGCCATCACATTGGGTGGAAATTTTAATCTTTATAAAGCCCAGAGGTAAGAATTCTCAAGACGCCTACTACTAGAACCCCCTGGAGTAGATAACTGGATTCTGGGAAATGATTACCTGTGTAAAGCTGCTCTGACAGCAAGAAACAGAAACTTCAATAAAGTGAACAGTGAAAAATAGCCCAAGGACCAGTCAATCTGGATGTGAATGATGTCACAGGAACCTAGGGTCCTCTTTGCCATTCTTGAGATGGGTCCTCAGGCTACTAATGAGACAGGCCCATACTGTCAGGCAAGACAATCAGGTGACTAGGGCTCATGCAGGGGTCCATGCTCTCTCTCTTCCACCTGTCTGAACTTCCCTGCTCCTCTTCAACCACACTACTAGTGCTCCAGCCTTGGCACTGTTTGCTCGCCCGCCTTCTCTTGCTTTGTGTGCCAGCCTGGCTCCCCCAGTGAAGATAACAGCCACCTCCCAACTCCCTGTCCCCTTTCTGTCCTGTTTTCTGCACAGCATGTAACTGCACCCAGCACAGGGCATAATCTCCTGGCTTATCAACTGTCTGGACCACACCTGCCTAGAACAGCCAGAGATATTTATATAATTGCTCATCCTGTCTCCCCACGCCCCAGGTGTTTCACAAATCTGCAGATGGTCATCCACAGATGGACAACATCTATAGGATGACTAGGAAAAGGAGTTGTTTCTAGAGATGCAGAGACTGCCACCGCCCATAACCCCCCTCCCATGGGCTTCCCCCAGCATCTCCTACAGTGTTGAGTAAGTCCAATCTCAACCATTCTTTAGTTCCTCAGTGGGTTTGGGGCAGATGCTGGGGCAGGGTAGGCCCTTGAACAGCTCGGGATGTCTTGGGTGCGCTCTCTCTCACTTTATTTAAGGAGGTGGGGTGGTGGCATGCCTTGGTGAGCCTGGGGTGATCAGAGAGGATAATTTACAAAAGTCAGTTCTCTTCTTCCACCATGTAGGTCCCAGGGGATCCGATTCAGGTCCTCAAGCTTGGCTGAAAGTGCCTTTACTTGCTGAACCATCTCACGGCCGCCACCCACGGGCTTTCTTGCCTGTAGTTTAGAAACAGGAATCACCTGGTGTGTTCACCGACTTCCCCAAAACCATCCACACCTCACTCAGTGGAATCTGGCTTCAACCCCTGACCTGTCAGTCTGCCTGTCTCTCACCAGGATTAAGTGACCTACTTCTGTCTCAAGGCCTTAGCTTAGTCTGTCCTGTTGCCCACTATCCCTCATATGTGCTTCACCTGCCCACACCCATCAGCTGTCACTCTCCGTGCTCCGGAGCTCTCTCCCAGTCCTCTGGCGGCTTCCATACACTTCTCACAGTCCCTGTGCCTCAGTGACCCCTCTTACTCCTGCAGCGGCCAGCCCCTTTCACCTCCACTGTCCTCTTTGACCAGCTGGGAAAACAACGCTAACCTTTGGGGACTGGATGAGTTCCCTCTAAAAGCCCAGGGTTGCGAAATAGCAGCAGCAGGAGGAGGCCACGAGGGAGCCAGGGCCCAGGGCTGAGTCCCACTGCCCCCAGTCCCTCTCCCCGCGCGCCCGGGAGGCGCCTCCAGGCTGGGCAGCCGCCACCCCGGGGCGGAGGGGAGTGGCCCTGGCGGCCTATTTCCCCCCAGCGCCGATCTGCCAGTCCGAGCCCTGCTGGGGAGCGCCTAGCCAGCCCGCCCGCGTCCACGCAGCCCCGTCAGCCCCGGCCGCCGGCGACCATGCAGCCCCGCCGGGCCTCCGCCCCTCTCCGCGCAGCCCCGCTGCTCGCGCTGCTGCTGAACCTCGCGCTCCGGACCTCCGCGGTGCGGGCAAACCCGGAAGTCTCCGCCTGGCCGCCGGCTGTGGGGCCGCCACGCGGGATCCTGCAGCGGGCGGCGAGCGCGGCGCTGCACTTCTTCAACTTCCAAACCGGCTCGCCCAGTGCGCTGCGGGTGCTGGCCGCCGTGCAGAAGGGCCGCGCGTGGGTGAGTGGGGCGCAGGGATGGCCACGCTCTGAGCCAGGGATCGCGCTGTGCGGGACCACGGACCCGGGCCGAGCGCCCCCTGCGTGGACTTGGAGTCCGCAGGATGCTGGCTCTGTCTGTCTTCCCTGCTTTTATGAGGCCCTGGATATTTCACCCGTCAAGGCGGGGGAGAGATGCTTGGGGTTGGGGGTTGAGAAAACGGGCCCCTAGTTGGGGTATCCAGTTGTTTTCTACCGGACGTGCCCTGTGTGCGTGATCCACAGGTGACTCCTGGCAAAGTTTTGTGCTGGATGGCCAAACTCTAAGCCAGCATCCAGGAGGACGGATCACTGGTTTGGTATGGTTCGATTCGGTTGAGTTCATTGCAGGCCGCTGCCCTGTGGCTTCAGGACAAAGTGATAACGTTTACTCCTAGACCTGCCCAGGGACAGGCTTTAGGTATGGAGTTGAGATTTTAAAAAAAGACAACCGCACTGTCCGTCTGGCAGTCCCAAATATTCCACAAAGCTGCAGACCAACAATCTCAAAGAATGTAGAACTGAACACAGGGTGTAAGTCTAGACTGGGTTCTGACTGATGGGAATGGCCTTTAGGCCTCTCAGCCTTGTTCCTAGAAAAGGGAAAACTATTCTTGTGACTTTCATTTTTTTTAAAACAATCTTTGCTGTCTCGGGGAGGGGATGAACCCAGTTTTACTAGTTCACCAGAGAAGTACAGTAACAGTTTAAGCGCATGTTATCAAGGTAGGCCCCCTCACAGAGTGGAAAGAGGCTGTAAACTGCCTCTCTGCTTGTAGGGGGGTGGGGGGGAATTCTCAATTTAAAAAAAAAATCTCAGGCTTTTTTAAATAATCAATTTTCAAATACAAGGGATTTTGTTTTCTTCCCTCCAAGATGAGTTTTTTTTTTTTTTTAATCATAAAATGGGGACAGCAAATGGATCAGCGGGTAAAGGCACTTGCCACACCAAGCCTGACAACCAGAGTTTGATCCCCTAGACCCACATGATGGAAGAACCAACTGTTAAGGTTCAGATAGCCCTGCCCCCTCACCAACAGGATCCCAAGGACTTCTCATGCTCCTGAGAAAGGGGAACCTAGCTGATAAGCACCTTGGCCTTTGAGGTCAAGAGAAGCAGACTTTTCTCCACTGTTTGGCCAACACAGCAGGCTTCCCTGACAGATTTTAACAGTCCTGCTCTCCCACTAACCGCCCCCCAACTTCAAAAAAAAAATATACATCTTCCCGCCTTCTGCAGGAAGCAGAAGCCTCCCTTTTAAAAAAGACCCCAGCTCAAGACCTGGGCAGGCAGACATTTTCCCTGCCCGGAAGGGAATCTGTCCCATGTGTTCCTTTGCTAATAAACCCTGTTTTGATGGAGTTTTAGCTGTGCTCCGGTGCCTCATCCTCCATTCACTCGTTCTCCACCAACTTTTTACCTAACACCAACATTCCCTAGTAGTCCTTTCACTACAGGCAGGCATACACACAAAATAAGTGTGATTTTTAAAATTACAAAATACATTGCATTTTCGTGCTTTTAGACATCCCTTGATGGAAAAGATAAAATCCATGGCATCTTTGCAAAATAAACCAGCTCTCAAAACCCTAGTGAGTTAAGAAAAATCCATTTTCTTTATCTTCACAAAGTTTATCATCTGGAATAGTATGCTCCTGAACGTACCTTATAGCAGAAAGGAGAGAGAGAGAGAGAGAGAGAGAGAGAGAGCGAGAGAGAGAGAGAGAGAGAGAGAGAGAGAGAGAGAGAGAGAAAGAAACTAGAATCCAAGACATCGGCCTTGAGGAACAGTTCTCTCATGTGATTATGGAAGCCAAGGAAAGTGGTCTGTGCCAAGAATCTCTGGGGATGAAAATGGTTTCAATTTCTCTCATGAATTCAGGGAAATTATTTTCCTCCATTTGTCTGCCTGGTTTGAAAGTCAGCACAGAAAGGCCTGCCTTGAGTGGATGATCAAGCTGGATGGTGTGAGAAATGTTAAACTTCTGACAAGGACATGCTAGGGCACTTCAGGGAGGCCAAAACAAAGGGGAATAGCTGATAGGTATTGCATTGAACTGACTCTCTGGAATCTAGGAGAACAGCAAATGATGTGTCGTAGAAACACTGTATACTGGCTCCTGCTTTACTTCCAGAGACCCACACAATAGGAGACTAACATATAAAGCTTTCTATGGCTATTTCCCTACTTAGTGGAAATAATTTGTATTCTACCAACAACATCAGATGATATATTTCCCAAAGTACGCAGTGTGAGTTACCATCACACTATCTTAGGGACAGTTGATCATCCAGCAGCTATTTTTTAAACACTGGGTGCTGGGCATTAAGCTCAATTTTGTGAGCTAATTCAGATGTGGGGTAGCATTGTTACAGAAGGCATCTTTGGGATTCAGTCAAGTTTTGAAGTGCTCAGGTGCCTTCGTGAGGAACACAAACTCAGTCTCTGTGGGGACAGCTCTAGTATAGTGACTCTAGGAACTGCTGCAATGACGAGCAGCCCCAGCACTACAAGAAGGCAAACCCAGTGGACCGCCACTCTTTGTCCCACAAGCACATTGGCAAGACAAATGCTCAGTTGCCTCACAGCATCTGTCCTTCACCCAGGACTGACCCTGGGGTGCAGGTGGACGCTTGGGAGAAATGTAATTCAAAGGGCTCCCTCTTCATTCTACAGGTTCATACACTCCATTGTGTCATGGGTAGTTGGAACTAAGTGCATTTTTCAAACTAAGGGCCCTTGGCAAATTATGAAATCAATTTAGTAGAGTTCAGTTTCTTAAGCCCACAGCCTCACATGTGCTAGACATACTCTACCACTGAGCTACATCTGAAGTCCTGTTTTTTAGACATTTTATTTATTATTTTTTATTTTATGTGTATGAGTGTATTGCCTGCACATATGAAAGTGCACCCATGTCATGCAATGCCTCAGAGGTCAAAAGAGGGCGTCGGATCCCCTGGAACTGGAGTTACAGACAGCTGTTAGCTGTCTTCTGTAAGAGCAGCCAGTGCTCTTAACGTGTGTGTCATTCCACACACCCCGCCCCAAGTCCTACTTAATGAAATGGCTTGGAATATAGGCCACGAGAGTGCACTGGAAAAGCAGAAGTAAGTGTTGTTTCACCATGTGCCTCAGATGTAGATGCATGAGCTAGACCGTAACGAGGGATGTAGTTCTTGCGTGGATTTCATTTAAAAAAAAATATGGGACCCAAAAGATTTCTAAGACTTTCCTGCTCTGTGGTTTCAACTTGAGTCTGTGAAGGCTTAGCCTGCAAGAGCCCTCATTCTAGAAACACTGCTGCCCTCTAGTGGTACTATGTGGCAATCGCTGCAGTGGTAACCGCTCTGGAAGGTGCAAGGCGGGTGTGGGGTGCTGGGGAGAACCACTCTGCTTTGTATTTCTCGGGGCAGAATGAGACCTTACAGCTACCCTGTATTCTCATTTTTGCGTGACGTCACCTTGCTCCTGGTCAGACACTACCATTCCGTACCAAAATGGTTTCTGCTTCATCAACTGCATGGCACAGCCTCAGGACCACAGTTGGAGTAGTGGGAGATTCTAGACGGTGCTGGGATTCTTACACCACTCACGGTGCCCTAGACCAGCACCACAAGGTTTGGCTACTCCTGAGTATTCTGGGATGTATCTTTCATTGAGATGAGTCACCTCTTCCCATCCAGCAAATTCTAGGAACCTTGCTCACGCAGCCAGTGCTGTCACTGATAGAGATTTGCTGAAAGTTTCGTAGGCACATACTTTCCAAAGAAAGCCAGCTCATTCAAAAATCAGCTGTTGCTTGGGAATTGGTCACTTAAGGTGAGTGCCCTGTTTCCCACCCTTGGAAAACAGTAGTTGGAACACACAATTCAAATAGCAAACCATATGGGCGAGGGACGGTCTGCTCATACCTCACTCCAATTAAATTCAAACCAATAGGAGTAAATGTACTCCCTTTATTTTGATGCGGGGCTGTTTAGCTGGTACTCCATGGGGTTCTTTCTAGCAAGAAAACATACCCACAGAGCACCATTTCAATTTCCATTTTGGCTCACTGACAGTAGGGTGAATATTTGCAAAAGGATATGTACAACTCTCTACTTTCTTTTCCTTGACTCACTGACACCCAGTTTAAGAGTTGTAGAGACAAACTTTTCAAATTCTTCCTAGTGCACTGAACTTGGACTTTGTGGGCACAACGTATTTTTTGGGTCTGTTCCTTACCAGCTTATCTAACATTTAATCCTCTAGCTGGGCAGTAAGTGCACCTGGCATAGTGGGTCTGGAGACAAAGTCAGCATCAGGCCACCCTTGGCAAACTGGGAGGCAGAGCTGCTGGTCTTCCAGGGCTTAGGCTACCATGGGTCTGAAGCAAGGATGGAACTTGTCCCTTGGGCCACACAGTTATGAGAACACACACTCACTAAGAAAAACTCCAGTCCCTTTCAGTCTACGGAGCACAATATTAATACAATATTCTTCACCTAATTGCTACTCTTCTTGAAGTCTTCTCTCCATTAATGTCAATAATTCAGAGGCGGCCATTCAGAGTAGGAAAGCAGTACATTATGTAGAATGTATTATGTGGAAACAAATTGGAGACTTCAAGCAGCTCCAGTGCACACGCAGGAAGTAAGATAATAAAAGAATACAGTGAAGTTATGCTTTCTTTCATTTAAAGCTCTTCAGTGCTTTTAGAACCATCATGAGACGCATCCTCCCACCCAGGATCACAAAGTCTCTTGGGGTCACCACACTGTGGAGACCTGGGAGCACAGCAGAGAGGCAGCACTATCCTGCCTTGGCCTTGCCCCTGCTGAAATAGCACAGGTGCACTACAGCCTCCGTCCTGTCACCACCCCAGCTCCCTCTCCACCACCTAGAGGGTCTAACAGCTTTAGAAGGTAGAGCCTGAGTTCAACACTGAGTGTGAAATGCCAGCAGGATCTGGGTGCAAAACTTTTGACTTAGCTTCCTT